AGAGAGCTCGTTGACAATGTTGCGCCTGCCGGTCATGAACGCCGTCTCTTAAGCACGGCGGAATTGCTTAATTNTTAGGAGCGAGGAAAAGCTTTCAGTTTAGATATAAATGGTTTCAACAGGGCAGCATTGTTCATAACAGAAATTAAGCTAATCAGTAAGCTGTGTGCAAGATGGAGACAGCTGATTATTGAAGAACACAGAAAAGTCAGTAGAAGGAACGAAGTCCTACAGTCTGGACAAGTTCTCCGGAGAACAGTTTCTTTTCCGTAGAGTACGAGAGCTGGGTCGGACATGGAGGTAATGGTTAGTTTTACAGTACATCCTGGGGTAAAGAAGAATGATAAAGTAATCAGAAGTGCTGAACATGAAACATATTGGGACTACTTATATAAAGACCATCGAGAAAGGTTCGGGGTAGAAAGGAGGTATCAAAGTGATTGAAGTCTCCAGAAGTAATGAACAAAGACTGATAAATACAAGTGGTGAATTGTGTTACTATAGTGTCGACAAACATTGTCTGTTACTCTTCACGAGTAATCGGGTTTCAGTCAGGAATATAGAATAACGTGAACCAGGTAGCGTTAGGCATGTAACACTAAGGTTTGAGTCGTTGCGAGTGTGTGGAACCTAATTACTTATTTCAGGTGGGTCGGACCTATGTAGATGATGGCAAATGTTGAATGTTTATCGATCAAGACAACAGCAATCAAGCCTTTCACGACCTACCTGCCCCCGAGTTTTGCCAACGTGAGTGATACTCCCTGATTCGCTTTCACATGTGCTTTGCCATTTGACCCCGCACGGATGGCACCACAGATTTAATCAAACTGATATATTAGGTCAACCAGAACAGTCTATCCTTGGTCTCGAACAAAGGCTTCAGCTTGGCGGCATTACATTTTGTACTAATTGTAGCAACCACCACCCAGTTGCTAATGCGCCAATTCAGTTTTTTCCAGTCTTGTCAACCCTATCGATTTTGATTTTCCTTAGCAGTTCTATCTTCACTGCATCGCTAAAACCGATAATATATATCGCTCTTATAAGCTAGCGGGACGAAAGTGTGCATGCTTGTGTACGCCACTTCGGTTGAACCAATCCCTGCTAAAGTTATTAAAATGACCCGGAATAAATGACCTCGTTACACCGAAACTCAGAGCATAAATCTCTGTTATATTTCACATAACTGTGAAGGTAATGTATTGACAACGATTTTATCCGTACATGTTTGACTACGCTTTGTATTTGGAACGGAAATACCGCTGTGGAGACAGTCCATCAAATGGTATTTAGAAGTCTGCAAAAAATATAAGAAATATATATATACTAACCTTGTTAGCGTTCGTCGAGACAGCCACTTTAAGGTCCTGAGTTGGAACCTCACCAACACCGCCAAGCTTCTCAATTTCTGTATTTTCTCAGACAGCTTCTTTATAGTTATGACGTCCGTACTGGAGGTTTGATGTACAATTCTACAGTCAATTAAAAAAGAAGAAAAACCATTTATTTATTTAATTTTTAAGGGGGGGGGTTGAGATAAATTCTTTTGGGGAATCATTGGATGATCAGATGGGATTGTACAATCAGCATTTGCACAAGACATTAGCAATCAATGGAAGACTGCTAATCCACAGTAAGGAAGTGGGACAACGATTCCGAATACAAAAATCTTTGGGTAATATAGACCAACGCTTACAGTACACCGTAAAACGTGACCACAAATGAATATGTTAGAATACATTGGACAACCATGATCCGAAATATAGGCACCCGAATCGAACTTCGGCAACCCAAGTTCATTCAACTATTTCCGATGTGTCCTCATGCATGAAATACTGCTGTGAAAAGCTAAAATTACAAACTTCAGGTTCAGAGGTCCACATTTTATAACTCATACAAGCACTCCGTCAGCCACCAGAACATCACCACGCATACAGACAACAAACCATTGCCGTATCTTTAGACACCGGAGCAGCTTTCGATTCTATCGATCGCTACGCACGAAAGAACAGTTTAAGGAGACACGGAATGCGCGAGAAGTATGTCTCAATCCTACAAGCACTGTATTACCAGACCTCAGGGAAGGTTAGGGCCTATTGTGAATTCTCACCCTCATTTCCTGTCACCAGTGGAGTGCGACAGAGTTGCCCTATCTCTCCGTTTCTCTTCAACTTTGCCATAGATGATGTCCTACAAAACGCGTTACATAACGCAGCGAACGCTGGAGTTGAGCTTCTTCCTGGGGACAGAGTCGTAGACTTGGAGTATGCCGATGATATTGCCTTACTGGGTGACAACGCACCAACAATTCAAGAGTCGTTGAACCGTTTGACAACTGAGGTTACTCGTTATGGTATGTCACTTGCACCTTCAAAGTCCAATGTTTTGTTGCAAGATTGGCAGGAACCAATTCCTCCGCTTTCGTTGAGTAATGACACTCTGGCAGTAGTCAAAAGCTTTGTTTACCTCGGGAGTTGCATAACAGCTGGTGGAGGTGTGGGCGAAGAGACCCCTTAACGCGTGATCAAAGCTAGATTAGCGTTTACTAATCTGCGGCGTCTCTGAAGCGGGCGCGACATATCCCTTTCACTAAAAGAACGTGTGTATTGCGCAGCGGTACGCACCGTGTTGCTCTATGACTGCGAGACCTGGCCTCTCCGAGCAGATCACCTTCCAGCGGCTATCAGTCTTCGACAACCGTTGTTTGCGCAACATCTCCCGCGTATGGTGGGAACATCGCGCCAATAACGATGAGTTCAAACGAATGGGGGCTAGGACCAGATAGTCTTCCTTTGAGGAAACTAATTTCACAGCATCGACTTAGGTGTGGCTAGGGCACGTCCTACGAATGCCTGAGCCCCGTCTATCACACCGTGCACTATTCACAGACATCGTTCCAGGCTGGGAGAAACAGCAAGGTGGACAGGTTATGACGTGGCGCATGGGGGGTTAAGCAGATTGTGCTCGGATCGGGCTTTCGTCGGGGCTCCCCGGCTCTCCGGCTGGAAACACTGCGAGATATGGCATCGAACAGAAGTTAGTAACACGAATGCATCCTCTCCTGTCTGCAATCCCAAAGTAAACAATACCGAAAAGAACCCCAAAATGGCGTGCAGTAAACAGACAAATAAAAAATGTTACCCGCCGAAGTTGACTGTTTTGTTTTCCTCACTTTTATACTTTTATTTTTTTCCTTCGCTCATGGTTATTATGTGCCGTATCTGTAAAGATTAGTGTTAAATAAATATGTATATATATATCCGTCAAAATTGGTCAATGAACTATCTTGGATTCCTAACTGGCTAGTAGACTCAACTTGCCTATACGACTTTCCGCCAAATTTCGTCATCCACGAAACAGAATTTACAGAATCGACCAGTATATCGTTGTTATGTAAATTGATATCTATACCTACTCCGAAAAAACAAGTATACCATGTGGGAGACGATAAAAAATAAAAACATTTAGTCTGATGGAAAGGCAAACGTTTTTCTTACCAATTATGCAAATCCACTTTTACTGGAAGGTAAAATAATGTCGAGTCAAAAGAGAACTTCACGCACCCAATAGGCTGATTCCTTCCCAATTTTGAAAACATAAAATGAACAGGAAGTGAAAAAATCTTGGAAAACGAACAAAGAAAGCACCAAAACCTGAATTTGCTAACTATTGACATTTTGGTCATTTACAATCTTACATAAAACGAGTCAAGGGAGCATTGTAGCACGTTCATTTCGAGAAGTTCTCTTACAAGCGTAGCATCGACGGAATCCTAGGAAAAAAACCTTTTATTACATTTGTATATTGCATTTCGTCGGTGCAACGAAACAGGCGAATGTGTTGGATGTTTTTTGGATGCGTTCACTCAAGACATCTGATCAGAAAGCAATTCTCTTCGCTGCTTTTCTCTTTTTAATGACGTTTTAATCGGTAAGACTATCGGAGTAATTTGTTTGTGTGGTGTAGTTAGGAAGAGACTTACGTTTCACAACCCGAGCGCTCCGCGTGTCACGCGTGCTTTGCACGAACGGTGTGAATAACAGACAACAATACTTTATTTTGATTGGTCAGAATCTCCTAAATTTGATTGGTTCTTTATGAACAGCCCAGAAGTGTAGATACGATAACTATAAATGTAATCGCTGCCCTCGCCGGCAACATCAATCAGTTCGAAACAGCTAAATTCAATTTTCAGAGTGAGTCGATGTATAACGTTCGGCCCATTTTAATTTGTCTTATTGGTAAAACGAGCTCATTTCAAAAGTGGTTGTATTTCTGGCACCTTTCTATCACTGCGGTAATATAGGATAATTTTAAAGAGGCGTAATATGGTGTTGTGAAAGGTACGAAAAATTCGAGGTTTATTCTGTTGGTCATTTTGTACCGCACCGACTAGTTAAAAGATTATTCGTATAAAACGATGAGCCAATTCAAAAACGTCAGTCAATGATGGTTTCCGGTATACCCTTTAAGAAGAAACTAACAAGAAACTAAAACATATGTCTCCCGAATGATGAGAACTAACTGAGACGTAGGGAACTAGGTTTACACCATCTCTCTCGGGGGCCGTTTTGAGTCACTTATTTGTCTACCTACTGAAGATTAAGTGAACATGATTGTGAAGTTGGAAGTCCTATAATGTCAGGTCAAGAAATATTGTGGCAAAACTGTACTAAGGGAATATGTCCATCATCAGGTAATATCAGAGTGATAAGTCATTCACATTTAATGTCTTTATAATAAGAATGTTTTTAACCTCTTTTTTATTTTATTGAATAAACAAATGTGCAGTCAACATTCAGGAAGGGGGCCGCAGTCATAGAAAGGCTGTATGAAATATACAGAATTAGGGAAGATGGGCAGCGGTGGAGCGGTTCTAACCCGATACTCCCAGTTCGCAAGTAGGCAACCTAACCACTTGGCCACCACCGCCTAAAGTGAACCTGAAAAGGGCCGGGTTCACGTTCTCTAGCGATCGTTTTTCTTCTTCATGTCGCCTAGGCCTCCAGCTTATTAGTCTTTGGCAGAAGGACAGCCTGGATGTTTGGCAACACGCTACCTTGGGCAATGGTCACACCACCAAGAGGTTTGTTCAACTCCTCGTTGTTACGAATGGCCAATTGCAAATAGCGAGGGGTTATGCGAGTCTCATTGTTGTCACGAGCAGCGTTGCTCGCAAGCTCGAGCAACTCAGCGACCAAACACTCAAGCAATGCAGCCAAGTAGACCGGAGCATCGATACCAACACGCTACGTAAAGTTATCTTTACGCAGCAAACGGTGCACGCGACCAATCGGGGCATTGCAAGCCAGCACGGGCTGACGGCCTCTTTACTTTCGCACGTGATTTACCGCCTTTACTACGACCGCTCATTTGTGTACTATGCCAGAACAGCGCNAAAAATTGCGAATGTTAACTGTGAATGGCAATTGCTAGTGGTTATTTATGAATCCCGATGTTAATGCATAAAAATAATTTCCAATTTGGCTGCAGCGACTTTTAGCTTTCAAAATTTCCAATCTGTAGGAGGATCGGGAAGTGTTTTGTTAGTCAAAGTTGTCTTTCTGTTATATCAATGTAAATGACCCAGCCCTGGGAATCAAACTGCCAAGTACAGTTGACTGAGGAGCAGATCGACTATTGCAGCGGGATAGTAGGTGCACTTTACAACCAGATGGTTAGTTTTTGTTCTGTTTTCTTTTTTTGAGGCCCGATTGAACCTCAGAACAAACGCAGAATCCAGAACGTTTGTGCTTCCTTGTTTGTGCAAGCTAGAAATTTGCCCGCAAGGATTATTATGAACTTATTTTGAAAAAAACCTGTTCTCACAGTGAGCCAAATGTTAAATCCTATCAAATATCACCACATATCTCACCGTGGGTGAAAACCTATCAACACATATCCGTGATCCATATAACTGACCCCAAAAGTGCAAGTTCACTGAATTTTCCCTTTATTCATTTAAAACCGTGTGACCTACTTTGATGCTTAGTTTGCAACATTAATTTTCATGGGCAGATAAAAATCACGTGCGTCTGTTTCATCACCGTGTTCCTTCGGGCTCACAATATTGATTTCAGTGGAAGACTGAATATAACTAATTCTTCTGATCGCAAAATGGCCACTGAAGCTCGAGAGAGAGAGACCAGATCAACTGTTTCCTGTGACACTTAAGCAAATACTTAGCTTGCCATGCCTTGTTTTTTATACTCGTAGTTCAGAATGACCTTCTCAGATTGAAAAATGTCTTTAAGTCATCGTACAAGTTATTTGATTGTGTTGTACTTTTTAAACTAAAAATCTAACAATATTCGAAGGATTCTAGGCGAAAACGACTCTTTTCATTTCAAAAGTATCATTGGAACCGTCGTAGGGCTTCTGGTGATTTAACATCCTATAACCTTTACTTTTACTCCCACTGCATTCTGAAACACATTATGTAAAGATCGAAACAAGCACATGTGTGTGTATTGCCGACCATCTGCAAAGTGATATACTGATAATGTGGGTATTCGAATGAACGAATAAATGATTCCGTTTTTTGGATTTTTTATTTTCCTCTCTTCAGTTCGATCGCTCTCAATGCAAGCTCACTTGATTTGCATCGGGCTTTTCTGGTTAATAGCAAACGTTATTGCCTCAACTGGTGAGTTCATTGATATTTTTGATCAGATACGCATACCGGACACCATTCTGTTTTTCAACCCATTTTGACACACAAGATTCTCCTCCATCTTGCTTTCGTGCTACTAACTAGTGGCAGCACTCTAGTCCACTTGTCCGACATACTCAGGTGTACGTGAGCCTCTGTGAATATGCGTCAAGAATTGCTTTTGGTCTATTCGATATTTACTTTATATTATCTGTAGCCGAGTAATGTTTCATCATTTTCGATATCTATGAAAATGCGATTTCATCCAAAACAGAACTATTATAATATGTTTAGGCAAACTTTTTCTATTTGAGACAAATTTACAACCCTGTAGTAAATGTCCCGATTGCCCGAGACGGGATCGCATTTCATCCGGCCTGGTGATACGTTTCATTTCTTTGTGATTAAAACGTCCATCAACCTCCATAACCCCTTCTATCTGGACTCGAACGCTAACTAACTTGAGTGATTCTAAACTTGGGGGCTTCGTTGTAACGTCTTCCAAGAATCAGATGTCTGTAGATTCGAGGCATTCCCATTTTCGAGGCACACTGCCGCATTATTTGTTCCACGAATGTTAAAATTAGCACTGGGCACCTGTTTCGTTCTTATTGTAGCACTCGGTGTAACTGACACTTATAGCCTTCGGATCGGAGGTCCAGAACTTCACCTCGGAAGTACGTAAACAATGAGATTAAGATGATAACTTATTNGGAAGTACGGAAACAATGAGATTAAGATGATAACTTATTGAATTCACATAATGATGATGCTCTGCTCTACTGTGTAGCTCAGACTAATCTGATGATTCAAGGTTCGAGTTCCACCCAGGAGACTGCACTGGTGATGAGTCCAATCGAGACAAAATAGTCATTAAACTTTCCTTGTGGGCAGGGGCAGCTAAAACATCAAAATTTAGGGAGTAAATGAAGTGAAATCAGCATCATGGAAAAAGAGAAGTACTCCGTTTCTGTAAACTGGTTTGGGAAAATGCATATTATGAACACTCAGTCACCTGGCTAATTCCGTATTTTGAAAAGAAAAAAAAACAATGACCAACACCATCATATAGGCAATCATTTTTTT